ATTTCTACGGACAATATTGACCATGTCCCTTTCTGTAAATGTATTGTAGGTTAATCTATTGAATTGAGATTCCATGAACGAAATGAATATCGTAACATGTTCATGCTGACCTTGTTTGCGTCTACGAATCTCATCAATTAGGTTCATATCATAATTGTCACGTAGGAAAGCATCCTTGAGTTGTTTGATCAAGTCCTGCCAATCATGAAAGCTATTTCTTAGATGGCCATTATGCCACCATGTCCAGGCTACATCTTCAAAGAGATCACCTGCAGATGCAAAGAGATCCATCTCATTGCAACCACGGGAAGACATTAGAGATTCGACAATTTCTAGAAATTCAATAACTGAGCTATTTCCAGAAAATTTTTTGATTCCCCATTTGAAAACTGGTATCTTTTTATGTGGAGCAAAATTTATAGGAGAGAGTGGCTGTGTATGTACTGGAGGAAATACTTGAGGATTAGCAACAGTCACAGGCGGATTTGATGCTAATGGAATAGGACGAGATGAAACCGATGGAGGAGATGATTGAGCAGATGGCATCTCAAGCTTCTCTAAAAGATCCGATTCACACACAACAAGTTGTGTCTTTAATCTAGATTTTGTACTTATCTCCTCATCACAAGTAGGAGACATTCGATCTATCCTACCAGATAGATGCAATAAGCGCACACAAATTCTGCGATGTTCAACAGAATCAGATACACCAGTAAATCTAGAGATCATCTCAGTGAGTTTATTGAATGAGAGTCTTATCTCAGTCTCATCCTCATCAAAAGGAATAGTCACAGAAGTTTCTGAGAAACTACGCCCTTGAAATTCCTGTGCTAATAAGCCACGTAAAACTTTACGTTTATCCTCCACGGTATTAGGGACTTCCAAACCTCTGATATGAATCTCGTAGTGGAGTTCATGACTTAATAAGTCATTTGGGCTTAGTCTAGACTGAACCATGATTGAGAAATAAACCTCAAAGAAACACTTGAAAGAAAAAAATTAAAGTTAAAAACCTGAATACGTCAAGAAATGACAAGGATCTAAAACACTATAAAAAACTAAGAATACAAACAAAAAGTTTCAATACAAAAACAGGAGCAGCCGAATCTTAAAAAAATTATTTTATATCTCACATACATTAAAAGAGTACAGAGACGTTCAAGTCCTGTTAATCCAATGGAAAATCAGACACTAATGTTCTAATTTCCCCCAAAGAATATGCCAGATAAAACTATAAAACATTAAAATTATGAAAACTTATGCTCCAAACAAGAGACAAAATTACTACAATAGTTACTGAGGAACGTATACTATATTTCAACAACAAGTTGAAGTTTAATTATCATAAATGAGTATGTGTGCCTTTGTATAGGTAAAAATGATTTAGGAGTCACCCCCTCATTGAAAAGTAGCAAAAATATAGTCAAGAAAAACATCATTTGTTTCTTGAAAAGAAAAAAAAAAGAAAGGTAAGTATCAAAGTACTATGTCCAAGTGTCAATACTTGAAAAAAAGTAAACCGCCAAAATATACGAAAAATTATGAATATCAATTTCATATAATTCAGAAAAATGGATAAATCGCAAAATGATTTACTCCAGATAACTCTAGTCAGTAGATTATTGCCATCAGAATGAAAACAAATGATCAAAAGTTCAAGAACAGTCAAAAATTCAAAAAGTAAATACATTTGGGGAAGGCAAAAATAATTTTGAAAGTAAATTTCCTACGTACCAAACATCATGAGAGCTATATCAGTACACCAGAGATCCAACAATTAGGCTATATATGCATACATGAAAAGTCTCAAGAAATCAAAAAAACTGCACATGAAGAAATACTTTCAAAAACTAAGAGGTTAGTGATCAAAAATGAAAAGCATATAAGAATATGTAAACTATCAACAACAATAGTCACAACCTCAATCAAAAGTTTGATGATATTCGACAAAAATGCTGGGAAACCTAAAGTCCCCAGACTATCAATATTCAACAACAAAAAAAAATATCAAAATATCATCAATCTCAAAAGTACAATGAGAAAAAAGTTATAACTGTCCCCAGCAGTAAATAAAAACTATAGTAGTATGTGAGAAAAAAAAAATTCTGGCAATGATCTCGCTGACTACTAAACAAGACAATTTAAAAGTTAATAGTATGCCTATGAAATAAACAGGTGGAAAAATTTTAATCTTTTGATAAAAATTTTAAACATTAAGCAAAAAGTAAGGATGATTAAGGAATTAGAAATTTGAGTACCAAAAGCAATTAAAAATAGAAATGCTGCCAAAGATTGTAAAGAATTTTGAAAACTATGTTCTGTTTGCCAATCTTCCACTAGCAAACCACTTGTCGACAAAGCCAAACACCTATCGAAGCCTCACGTTGCGGGTGCCAATTTATGTAACGCTTCCTTTCCGCAAAAAGTCCAGAAAAGATGGAATGCAATGAAGATTCCAACTTTTCTGCACAATCACAGAAAGGGGGTTACCATTAGCTTCCGGTAGCTCAGTCGGTGGCATGAAGACATCTACAGGCGTGTAGCTGTGTGTCGACCATGGCATGGCTAGAGGATAGAAGAACAAACAGAACACAAAAATTTAACAGATTTTATTTAATAAAAAAAGCATTTTCATTACATTACAATTTTACAAAAATAGCAAAACAAGTTTTACATCTTTGGCGCTGCTATAACGCTATCAACTTATCTTTTGCTGGTCCATTTTTACTCGACTGAAGCCAGGATGGCCAGGGGCTTGAAGGGGAGGTCCCAGTTATGAGGGGTGACCTCCATATAGTGGCTTCATAACCAGTTGTAGGGCGAAGTTAAAGGCGATGGCGCTGCCAAGGCACATGCATGGGTGAAAATATTGGCCAAGGCTAGGCAAAGTGAAAGGGAAAGAGAAAGGGGGTGGCCCCAATCTGAAAAAGAACCGTGTGCATTAGCAACGTGCCCTAATGGCCAAGGCATTTCCAATTTCAGTCTGCCTCAAAAGAGAACCAACGATTTTCTAGGTTAGAATTACATTATATGGTTTGATAAAATCAAACCGAAAATTGGAAATGCCTTTCATAAAATAATATCATGAAATAGCAAAAAAAAGCGTAGAACAAGATGGTGGTCATCAAAAATTTCTCCACATGCTTCTGATATAAAAAACATAATCATCGAATATTCATAATCAACGTACTTATAATTTCACTGAACTATGAATAAATATACGCGCACAGAGGTAAAATCGATGTGGATCGATTTCCACCTCGATTTGATTAAAGTTATGGCGAATGATCGAAGTAGTCGAAAATGACGTTCGATGGATATTTTAAAATCGTACAAGAAATAAATCACTTACATATCGATTATCTATAAACTACAGGCAGATCCAGCAATAAAACTGTATAGTATTATAAAACTCACCATTTTTGTCCTATACGGACACACATTCTAGAAAATTCTAGCACATGGTGCTATATAACCTTGTGCTACTGAGAAGAAATTTATAGCCGTTGTTCGATCGGCGGCTCAAGTGAAAAGGAAGCGCGAGGAAGATCGCAGATCAGGAACTCCGCATCAAGCGCTCCAAGCGGAAAATTTTCCAAGCAAAAAAGCTAGAGATGGGATTAATGAAATGATAATCGAGAAGTGATTTAATAAATACGATCGGACGGTGAAACCGTTACATACCTAAGAGCCAAAAATAACAATCTCCATCTTTACTTACTCTGCGTTCCGTCGTAATTTGCGTCTGGCATTGCGGCGTTATCAGATTTTATTTTACTTTAATGTCGCTTTTCTCTAAAAAAATAAATTCCGTTTCGAACCCCATGTTGTATGAAACACTTTGCTCCTTTTAACCCCCTCTAACACCCATTTAAATAATGACTATCATAACGTTTACACTCTGTATATAGGTAGAAATATACCTTCCGTCGCTTTGAAATTGACATACGAATACTGTATTATAACGTAGAAACAGCAGTTGAGAATTGTAATGAGTATTTTCTTAAGAATACTTAATAGCTCTAGAATATAAAATCACTATATCTCAAAATATACTATAGTAGGGGTTATACTATATTACAGGTATAGTATTTTGTTTGGATAAACGTGTCTAATGCGGGCCATTCACTAGACAGACCGGAACTCGGACAGCAACCGGGACCCGACTGACGACTCATCCACGTTTCTCAATACATTGCGCGGAAATTACACGAACCTTGCAAAACAGCTCATTTGTACACTGAATGTGGTGACCCTATAGCTACACATTATGTCTCCGATATTATCAAAAAAAGGCAAAAGTTGCTTTGGCTGTTGGTACAGTCATGTTATTTGAATCAGAAAAAAAGAAAAAACATGTTTGGGTGAAAGAATGGTTGCAAAAGAGAGAACAGTTTACTCATTTGCGATTATTGAATTGTATCCAATCATGCAAACCATTTGATGTTATAAATTACCTCAGAATGGACTATAACGCATTCCAAGAATTATTAACGCTAGTAAAACCTCTCATATAGAAGACAAACACTTTATTCAGAGAAGCAGTAAGCGCTGAAGAACGTCTGTTGGCCACCTTGAGGTTTCTGGCAACTGGGAGGAGCTATGAAGACTTAAAGTTTTCTTGTATAATCTCTCCTCAGTTACTTGGAAGAATCATTCCAGAAACGTGTCGTGCTATACACAACTCCCTCCGAAAGAAATACTTATGTGTAAGTACAATAATTATTATTTTTTCGTGTATTCTGATGCATATAAGAAACAGAGTGTTGAAAAAACTTCTATTCTACAAGTAAACGAATGTGAATCAGTCTGTAATAGTACCGAATCACTTCTTAATTGTTTTGCCTGGGTAAAACTAAAAATTCTTCCATCAATTCACTATTAGCAGACGCTTGATTTGAAGTTGTCAAAGTGGTAAAAGTTTGTACATCTGGTTGACGTGTATTTGATGTGAAGGGCTCATCAACGGTTGGGTTAATGGATGTTGGAAACCTGGAGTATGTGTTTTGAAAGACTTGTGCTTGCGGAACGCATGGGGCACTTTGATATGATGGAGGTTGCTAACCCACGGAAATATTGTCCTATTTCAACATTCTGTAATTGTTGACCAGTATTTTTGCCAAATGTTATTTCTTGTGGTTCTATAACATCCTGTTGCGGAGTTTCCAAGACTTTTATGGAAGTATCCAAATATTTGTTTTTCTTCTATGCTCAAGTTGTGCAGTTGAGAGTTCGCTTGTTACGGGAACTTGATGTTGCACTTTGAAGAGTTTCAGGCGATAAAACTGGTGATGAATCTAAATCTTGATCAGAGTGGTGTATGTATGCATCTGGTTTTTGCAATAAAATTACTCACAGTTAACTATGCCCCATATGATAGGTGTGCTATTTTTGGTATCAGTTTCCATCAAAAGAAGAGGAATGGCTTAAAGTAGCAGGAGGATTTAAAAATATGTGGCAATTTGAAAACTGGTTAGGAGCCGTAGACGGCAAACACATAGCTGTGAAACAGCCCCCAGGAAGTAGTTCATACTATTATAACTACAAAAGGTTTTTCAGTGTTGTGTTGTTTGCAATCGTAAATGCTAATTATGAATTTACTTATGTAAGTTGTGGAACTAATGGAAGAATATCAGACGGAGGTGTCATTAAAAAACAGATGTTTTCAATTTACTGAGAACAGATTCTTTGAAATTACCCCAACCAGTCAATATGCCAGGTATTCAAAATAAATTACCCTTGGTATTTAATGGATGACAAATTTCATGACGCCATACAGAAAAACCAACAGTATTGGTTATGAAGAAAAGTGTTTCAATTATCGACTTTCCCGTGCCAGGCGCGCATTCGGGATCATGGCAAATAGATTCAGGATTCTCCTAATGCCAATAGCTACTAAAGTGGACACAGCTGATGATATCGTTATGGCATGCTGTGTTTTACACAACTTTTTACAACGCAAAAGCACTTCATACTTACAACCTACTAACATCGATGCTGAAGACATTATGTCAGGGACTGTATTGTTAGGTGATATGCACATGAATGGAGAACTAATATCATTAGATATGTCCAGGCAAGGATTTCCGACTACTAACGCAAAGACGATACGAAACAAATATAAAGAATATTATAATAATGCAGGTGAAGTTGACTTCCAACACAAATTTGTATATTAAGTTTAAGATGTGTGGTATAGGTGATGAAATAAAATATCTGAATTATAAAAAATATTGCCATTTTAGAGTACTGAGGCTTGTGATTGGTCATCTAGGTTATTTTCTTCAATCGAAGAAACCGCTGTACAAGACTCTTCTTGATCCACGAGAAAAGACAATAGATCAAAATACCACAATGTAGGTTCTGGTACATCTTCTCTTCCTACCTCACTTCTTTTTGAACTATTAATCGCCTTATTTGGCGTCGGAAAGATGCCCGTAACGATCATACTTTTTTAATAACGAATTCCTTGTTGGCATTGGAAACATTAATTTGCTTTCGCTAATTAATTTCTCATAAGCAGCATTTTTTTCAGGTTTGTTGCAGTAATATCTTGATGTCCCATAGGCAAGGATTTTCCTGATAAAGTTGGATAAATTCCTCCCAAAAAGATTTATTATCTTCGAAAGACATTTTATTTTTAAATTCCCTTTAAAAAACGCCTTGATACCTTTGCTCGACTCGGAAGAAATCTGTCGTCGCCGGACACGTCTTGACAATTTACACACACATTATAAAAATAGCACGGATTGGTCACGGTCGGGTCATAGGTTCGGTATTCAAACTAGCGAACTCACAACCCGATCCTGACCGATGTGCGAAATGTCTCTCGATACCATACATTGGCGGATCGGTCGGCGGACAAGTCAGGACGAACCAATACGTCCCACCAATCCACTAATGAATGGGGTGCTTAAGGCTCGTATCGTCAGTCGTCCCTACAATTGTAGGACGCGTTTATGGCCTCCTTGATTGTCATACTCCTTTCTCTCCTTCAAAAATTTCTAGTTTACACTTGTCCCGTGTCAGCGTCAGCGCTCTCCAATTGTGAAGATATGTTTTCTTTTTAAATTTTAGGAAATTTCAGGCTGATAAAACATGATATAACTCAAAAGCAAGCACAATTTGATGCAAATAGATGTTTGTGACATAACCTCAAAACAGTGTTCTGACACGGAGAAGTAGAAAACAATGACAATCAAGGAGGCCATAAAAGAGCCTAAGGCCCGTATCGTCAGTCGTCCCTACAATTCTAGGGCTCTTTTATGGCCTCCTTGATTGTCATAGTTTTCTACTTCTCCGTGTCAGCGCTCTATTTTGAGGTTATGTCACAAACATCTATTTGCATCAAATTGTGCTTGCCTTTGAGTTATATCATGTTTTATCAGCCTGAAATTTCCTACAATTTAAAAAGAAAACATATCTTCACAACAGGACAGCGCTGACGCTGACACGGAACAAGTGTAATCTAGAAATTTTTGAAGGAGAGAAAGGAGTATGACAATCAAGGAGGCCATAAACGCGCCCTACAATTGTAGGGACGACTGACGATACGAGAGAAGAACATTGATATGACATACTATATACTACAGCGTTTTCATGACTGATTGTTGAAATATAGGATACCGGATGTACAAAAACGTTCAACTTTGACAACCTGCCAGTTTGCCATTATCATGCCATCATGATAAAACGATCCAAGCATTACCGTGGTGAGATGTATAACGAACGACTGAGTGAATGAGTGAATGAATATGCCGATTCTGGAGAATCTCACACTTCGCACAGAAAAGCCCGTCAGAGCAATACTGTCGAGTTTTTCTGTCTGTCTATAAGAGCATTCGCCTGTATGCAGATTCCAAATAATGTGACAGAAATAGAAGCAGTGAGGTGCATTGCCTCTTTAAGGGTCGACTTACTATGCAGTTCACTGTCACGCTGGCTTGACTATCCGTCTGGAAAATCCAAAATTTAAATGTATAAGGATTCTTTTTCCTTTATAGCGTCCGTTGTTGAAAAATGCAACAGGTTTTCTCGACGCGTGTAAAACCTAATGAAAGATGCATGACTGTTACACTAGAGGTAGCAGCTACGTTCCTTTGCACTACACCTGTAATGTTATGTGGAACAGTGTGTAAAGTAAAAGTGAGAAAGTCTGTTGGTTTATTTTGGCAGAAACATTACAAAACGGCTGATGGAAAGTGGAGCCTGGAAGGTTCTTCTTCTACAGACCGTTGTCTTATTTGATATGCGACAATAAAAGTAACATTTATATCAATATATCAGAAAAAATATGGCATCAACTAAGTTAACTCTGTACTTGTCAGTATATAAACAAATACGCAAAGTACGACAGCAGAATTTCTAATTTGTACACATTGGAGAATCATAGCTGCGACAAATTCTCATTCTCATTGTCTATAAGGTCTTTTGATTCAAGTTTCGATTGATGTGATATTCACTCGTTATCAGATGACCACATTTAGGGATGACACTCGTAATCTGGAGCAATGGAAAAGAAAAACTACAAGCCTTCTTTGAATCCATCCAGCAACCATGAAGAACTCTCATCGGCTAGAAAAGAGCATTATGCAACACGCAAACAAATCGCCAGGAAGGAATCATTCGCATCAAAGAAGATCCAATAATAAATGGCTATCCAAGACGACTGATAAATGAAGTTGTGGAGAAAACAATACCAACAACAGTAGACGCACGCGAACCCCAGCGTTCACTAACTGATTCTACCGTATGTTGAGGGAATAGGTGATGCAATCAGAAGAATAGTAAGACGATACCAAATCGAAACTCGATTTTGAATTAACACCACATTTAGCAGTATCCCCACAAACACCAAAACACCAACGACGTCTATAGGATGCCGTGTGAATGCGTAGAGACACACATAGGAGAAACAAAAAGGCCACTCTCAGAAAAGATACAAGAGCATAAATCCAACACGCAAGGAGTGGAAACGATTAAATTTGGGATAGCAGATCACGCTTGGACAAAGCACCACAGAATTATTTATGATCATGCTGAGATCCTACAAAAAGAAGTACACTGGTATCGGAGAAGATTAAACTAATATGACAACCGATTGTAAGAAGCATCAAATAACTGCAACTCAACTGGAACGAGGGGCACATGATAACCAACCACCGGCCACAAAGGAGCAAGTTCGGCAGTTCAGCTGATGACGATTGAAGATCACATAAATCGGTGGCGTGTATCAAAAAACCTTATAGTCAATGCAAATCCGTGAAACAACATCTCAATCTCATTTAATCTCGGATGATCTTTTGGACGTCAAAATATAGCATTAGGTTGGCTATCTATAGGTAGAAACAGTCTTTTGTCAATGTACCTGGGTTTTCATAGGTGTTCAATGACAAAGATACCGGAATATATAAATGCATACTTATACTATACAGACTGCATGCAAGTTCATTTGTCCAGATTTGCGTGAGAAGGAGAAGTACGTATGTATGAGTGATGCATATCTAAGAAATATCATTTACTAGGTTCTTGTGTGTTCTTTTTTGGTATTCTAATATTATGTTATTTACATTGCTTAGTTGAAAAGCAGCGTACGCTGAATCCCGCCTTTTATCACTTTGTTACTTCTATATTCTACCTCAACTAAGTGAAAATGATTGTAACCATAAATTAATCTACTTCTTAACTCTCTCATAATATATCTTCTATCTATTGCATCATGTGAAAGCAAATTAACAGAAAATCTCAGAAAAACTGATTATTATCCGATTTTGTTTACAGCGTAACGTCCGTCTACCGTTTTAAGTTGTCCCTACGAATAACAGATGTATTCTATTCCTCGAATTGCTACCGCAGTCATAATGACAGCCAACGAAGGAAGATAAATATTTACGAACGTCGACATAAAGGGATGCTTTTATCAGATGCTGTTTTATTTGCGCAAAGCAGCAATCGCAGGGACCGTGACGTCAACAAACATTAAAGTTTTGCGATGCATTGTAAAAGCGCAGCAGCTTTTGCCTTTTGCATTTCGATAAATTAAATGTATTTCCATTCAACTTGAACTATGTTATGTTCGAGGACTAGAACGAGTTTTCGATTAAAGTCGATGTACGTTTGTATAAAAAGTGAGTTTGCAATACTACGAAGTCAGACAGAAATGCAGGCAGTCAAACAGAAAGTACAAAGGTTTTATTAGAAATAGTGTCCAAATAGTGTTGTATCATATAGACTGGTCAATAGACGGACAAAAAAAGGGGGAGCTTTCACAAAAAATCTTTCCGGCACTGTGAATTGTGTGCCTTTTCCACCGCCTTGGAGATAATGGGGAACGTATTGTAACTTTCAATTTGACTCGCGGTTTCCAATTATCATTGTCGGTCTCCAAAACTAATACCGTACTAATAATTGCTAATAACCGTGAATACGGTCAAACTCCTTCAACTCAGATGAAACATGTTTCCAGAGTGTTAGATTCCATATAATATCATCATGTGGATACATGGATCCTTATCAATTTTAGACTTCAATAGGTCACTTTGAAAACCTCACGAGTCACACAGTTTGAATGGTTCAAAAGACAAAAACTGTGTCATCGACAAGTACAGTGGTCCTGTTTATGGAGTACATCTGCCCACTCAGTTCTTTCTACATGCCTACTTGAATATGCTGAAATACTTTTTACACCATACAAAATTATGTTTACACCGATTGCGTTACCTACATTAACTGGACTAATTTTTCAGTTGTAGCTATTTATGAGCGATCCACTATTTAGCAACGTTTCTTGTAAAGTGTACAATGGAATAAAATGCTAATATGACAAAAAACGATAACAGTCCCAAAAGTAGCAATTCTCTAGAAATTCTCCAAATTAGCGATATTTTA